AGCCCATCACTTGGCATGGGCGCTGGGGGCCAAGACTGCTTCAATATATAAATCTTGCTTAAGACCACCAAGGCTGATCTGGAATTTGGAACTGGACTCTGGGTTGTATCTCTGGGAAAGAAGGCTGGGAAGGCCCAGTTGGGAGAGCCATGGAAGCCTGTGAAAGCTAGGCTGGAGTCCCACCATTACTGAGAGTAAACAAAGTCCAGTTCTGCTTTGTGTCCAGCATGACTGTAGGAAATGACACACAGAGAGTTGCAGTAGCATACAAAAGAAAGAACTTTATCTCATTCTTTCCAACTCATAGCCTTCTTGCTAAGAGTGTCAGTTAAAACAGAAACAAAAACGTAAAACAAAGAATCTGGGCATTTTAGCACATGGATAACTACAGAAAAAGCATCTTACAAATTCAAGTTTTTTGTTTTGGTCCTTAATGTTTATGTTGCACAGATTTCATGTTAATTAAAATTATTTCCAGTAAGAGGTACAGAAAGACTAATTTATGCAATTGTTTGTAATCATCACCTCCCGTGGTCTTTTGAAATATTATATTTGAAGCTATTATGACTTTTTCAAATTGCATTTTAATGAATTCCTTGGGGGAGACACTGTGATTAAAAGGCATGATACCTACTAAATGATGAACTAATAAAACATTATATAAGAAAGAATTTATCAAACCAACCTTTAGATTGGACTCATTTATCAAGCCACAGAACAAAAACATAAAATGCCTAATTTTGAAATACTTATAAGCACTTACAATTTAAGATTAGTAGGGATAGTGAATGGAATTCCAAAGTAAGGAAGGAAAGTAACTGTAGGAAATGTATAGGAGATGAAAGTCTATCCAAGCAAGAGAAGTAATAATTGATTAAGTGGAGGGTGAAAGTGCTAAAGATCAGCACTAAAATCCCTCAGAGGTAAAACCATCTGAAACTCCCTTCATAGCAAAGGCACTTAATTTCTTACACTGGAGATATTTATCAAGAATGTATCTGCACAGTGGCGCCTGGGTGGCTCAGTTGGTTGAGCATCAGACTCTTGATTTCAGCTCAGGTCAGGATCTTAGGGTAATGGGATCAAGCCCCATAACAGGCTCTGTGTTCAGTATGGAATCTGCTTTTCTCTCTCCCTCTGCTTCTCACCAGCCCCCTCTTGTGCACACGTTTCTCTCTCTCTCTCTCTCTCTCTCTCTCTCTCTCAAATAAATAATCTCTTTTTAAAGATTTTATTTTTTTATTCATGAGAGACATACACAGAGAGAGAGAGAGAGAGGCAGAGACATAGGCAGAGGGAGAAGTAGGCTCCATGCAGAGAGTCCAATGTGGGACTTGATCCCGGGACTCTGGGATCACGTCCTGAGCCAAAGGCAGATGCTTCACTGCTGAGCCACCCAGGCATCCCAAATAAATAAATAATTAAAAAAAAACAAAAACAAAAACAAAAACAAAAGAATGTGTCTCTACAAGCTGAGGATTGCTGGAGGGTTGGTGGGTGGGAGATGGGCTAAAAGGGGGATGGGTGTTAGGGGGAACACTTGTGATGAGCTCTGGGTGTTATATGTAAGTGATGAATCACTAAGTCCTACTTCTGAAATCAATATTACACTATATGTTAACCAACTAGACTTTAAATAAAAACTTGAACAAAAAAAGGAATGTATTTCCAAACAAAACAAAATGAAAAAAAATACCCAAACAACAAGAAAAAAAGGTGTCTCAAATTTGCCATCAAAATCCATAAATGAAATACAATAGCTCTTTTTGGACAGTCCCTCAATAAGAATCGATGGAATCGATCTAGTCCATTGGAAGTAGAGCTGTAGAACAGAATAATTCTTAAATTCCTTTCTTGATACTCTTTAAAATGTTCCTTTATAGTTAAAATAAATTATTTGGAAATTATACACCCATCTCTGGACTTTAAAGATGTTTTTAGTCTTGGGTTTCGGGGTGGGGTGTTGGTAGGTGGGGAAATGAAGAGAAACTGGGGCCCAAAGCAGCCTAAAGCCTTCAATATCCAACAAGCAGACTTCAGACAAAGCAAGAGAAAGACCAGAGAAACCACCACCCACCACAGTTCTGGTGTCAGCCTGTCCAAAGCAGGGCCAGATCTACACGCAGGAGAGGGAGCTAGATTGGGTTGTAAATTGCCGCAATCAATAGTGGAGAAAAACAAGATTACACTAGCAAATGACACCCAGTCGGGATAATTCAGTTTGTCAATTCTGCTGGCTAATAAGACTCCATTACAGTTGGATGCGTGGGGGAGAATCCAACCTCATCCCTATAAAAGAATCAATCAATCCTAGAAGCCACCTTCTTCATCAGCTTTGGAGTACTGACTTCCCCAGAGGCAGAAGGACCTAAGGCTTGGAAACCCCCCTTGGCACTCACCCAACGCCCCCTACCCTGAGGCCTTGGCTTCATCTGAAATCATAAAATAGATTTTTAAGTGAGATTCCAGACAGGCTGAACACAGTGTAGCCTGACAGGGCTCTTGGAAACTCAGAGGAGCTACAACGTGTGGCTGGGAAGCACAGCTTGCCTGATTTTCAGGTGCCACTGAGACTCCTCTTATTTACACTAGTGACAATCACTGCCTGAGATCTCTCAGGAATAAATGAATTCAGTTAAACCAATTGCTCTCGTCTCTGGCTTTGGTCAAATCCCATGCCATGCTAACACAAGTTGGCACCATTCAGAAAGAGCTCTTGCACCATTCAGAAAGAGCTGCACCCCACAGCACTCTGGCCAGTTTCAAGTTAGGAGAGTTTTCAATGTTCAAAGGAAAAAAAAAATTGGTCATTATTCTCTCTTGACTGACTTACTTAGTCTGATGTCTTGTAAGAAATAAATCTTGTGAAATCCTTGCATTGGTAGAAATGTATATAGCCAAAATTAGCAGGCATATCCAGAGCATCTTTACAGATTAAATAGAATACTCTTTAGGCAACAACAGTCAGAGTGAGTTGTTCTTTTAAGGCTCCAGGGCTGTTTCCACCAAATTCCTGCATCTTGCATACTTACTCAGGGATTCCTCAGGGATTGCTGAGTCCACTTGTTCTTTGTTTATCGTATCTCTAACACAATGACTAGATCCAGTAAGCACTATGGAGCATAAAAATCACGTATTACACATCCTAATAGCTTCTGTCTACAGAATATGTGACTCAGAAGTAAGCGCAAGTGAGATCACAACCTCTCAGGGAAAATCAGCAACAAATACGAGCTCATGGGCTGTGTGCAGGGTTGGCAGGGTTGATTTGTAGATAAACCCTGGATGCAAATTCAGACAAACACCTCTGCACACAAAAGACATTTTTAGAAAACAGCATTCTTGAGGGCTGAAGTGCTGTGTAATTAGAATGCATAAAAAGATCTTGGAAGTAAGAGGTCTCGACCAATCCTTTCTCTGGAATGGTGGGGTCATCTTCTTGGAGGTAGAAATGCTGTGTCTTATGAGAGGAAAACTACTTTACGAAGTAGCAAAAGAATAGCCAGATATGAAACTGTCCTTACAAAATTATTAGCCAATGGTATTTATTGCTCTTAAAAACCTTTAGCTGCCTACCGATTTATCCCTGGGGAAAGAAAAGATGGCATAAAAGAGTGGAGCTTACAGACACAGAAGCAAATTGTGGAAAAGCTTTGGAAACATGGGAATAAGTAGTGTTTGCGATGACCCTAAGAAAAAAAAGAGAGGGTGCAGAGGGCAGCGTGGTGAGGTGATCCCTGGGATAACAATACAGAGCAAGTTAAAAAATCAAAGGACGGGATCCAGGGGGCAATTATCCAAACCCTGACAAAGTCAACTTGGAAGGCAAGTCGGGTTACGCATGACAAAGGTCACAGTCCCTTTGTTTGTCTCCAATGCGCATCCAGGTGGGGTGGGATGGAGCAGCAGCGGTGATGCCGGGTGCTGTGGCCAGGGCAGACAGAACCAAGCAGCGGGGTGGGCTTCCGAGGGACACCGCGAAGACCCCGAGGGGTCGCAGCCCCTCACCCCCACCCCTCCCGGGCCGTGCGCCCCGGCCGTGCGCCCCGGTGCGCGCTCCAGCTCCCGCGCGCAGGCTGACTCCTTGACTGCAGCCCAGAGGGCCACCGAGACAAGACCCTCCTCTTTCTTCTGCTCTCCTAAGTCCCGAGCTTGGGCCCTTTGCTGCTGTCCAGGCTCTTCTTCAGGAAAAACTCACTTAGTGACAGAGAAGGAAAGGTGGGAACCGGAGGCTAAATCCAAAAGGTCCCCCCAGCCTGGAGCGCCCCCCACGTTTGCAGCTTCGTTTTGGAGCGCTGGGGGCTGGCTCCCGCGGCTTCCTCGCGGGCTGGGGTGTGGGGAGGGGTCAGGGTGGAGGGTCCCTCCCCCCTCCTCCCCCCTCCCCCCTCCCCCCTCCCCCGCCGCTCCGGAACGCGCTGTGTGGCCGCTTCTCTCCAGCGCGCGGCGCTGCGCTCGCTCTTATCCGCGGAGCGGCGCCGGTTCGTGCGCGGCCAGCGGGACTCAGCCCGTCCGCTGGAATCGAGGAGCATTCATTGAATCTGCGGCTTTCATGACGTCTCCCTGCGTGGCCCATCACTTTTCTCCCAGCCGGGATTTTTTTTTTTTTTCCTCCACTCCTGCGGTTCCCGAACCCTTCCCTCCGCCGGGTCTGCCGCCCGCATCCCTGCCCGACGCACACCCCTCCGCCCCTCCTTTGACCCCGCGCCCAGCCCGCCTCTCCGCTCGCGGCCAGAGGGAGCCAGTTTGCAGACGGCCGCACCTGGCCGGAGAGGTTGGGCGGGTGGAGGGGTGGGGATCCGCGGGAACCGGGAAGCCAGACCCAGAGCTGGATGCGCCGCCAGGAGAATGGAGCCTCCTAACAGCCTCTCGGGGCTGATGTGAAATTGGACCATCTGATTCCAGTTTTTCTTTCCTTTTCTTTTTCCTTTTTTTTTTCCTCTCTTTTTAAAAAAAAAAAAAATTTCTCCCCTCACCATCCATCGTGTAGTGAATTATCAAATCTTGCTCCGTTCCAAGAGAGGAGATCATGATTGAGTGAAACCACCCTGTCCGCAGCAAGGTAAGCGGTGCGCTGAGTTGCTCGAAGGCGAGAAGCTGGCATCAATCTGGGCAAAACGTTCCGTGCCCTCGGGTCCCCACCTCCCCCTCCCCAGTCTCCGCCGCCGCTGCATGCTCCACGCTGATGAGAAACATGATGCCCAAGTCTGGGGAAAGGCGAGGGAGAAGCCGGTTACATAACAGAAGGGAAATCTGTTTCATACGGTTTTCATTAGCAACTGAAAACTCGCAAGGGGGGCGGGGAGAGGAGGGGTCTGCATGCCCTGGGCTCTGAGAAACCCAGTCAGTTATTGCAGACATCATTTCAACAGACGTTGGCAAAGAAGAAATGCACTGATTTAACTGGCAGGGGCGGCTTGTGGTGTAGTCATTTACAGTTGGGAAAAGCCCATTGTCTTTATGGAAAGCTGTATCCTTGTTCTTCTTTGCATAGAGGAGAGTGACAGAGACCTAGACGGGGAGCAAGAGAAGGAGGAAAAGGAAAAAGTGAGCGGTGGGGAGAAACAGGCAGAAAATGGGAAACAATGACTCCTAACTGTTATCTATCAGTAAAACCAGGGATGTGATATGATGGCTACAAACAGTGAATAGGAAGCTCTCCCTAGAAGTAAACTGAATTGTTTTGTAATTGGAAGGAAAAAAGAAACCCTTCAGATAAAATGAGATGTTTCTGGCATTTAGGGGGTTGGATGAATCCCGACTTGCTTCCTCCTGGGTATATTTTCATTTGCATCAAGACATTAAGCTTGGATTAGTTTTTAACAGAATTAACATGAGTATTCCCCAAACCCAATAAAACCTTGAGTCGATCCACAGGTATATCTCTTGTACCAGCCTCAATATGGAGAAACTCTTAAGGAGGAAACGTGTTAATAGAAAAAGCCACAGAAATGGGGTGAGGTTAATGGAGAAACAAAATACCAGAATTTTCCAAAGAATCCCGCCTCCACTCCCAAAAAAGGAAGAGAGAGAGAGAGAGAAAGGGGGGGGGGACCTCAAGTGTTTGGGAGTTGGAGATTGATTATGTGTTTAGAGTGTCTCCTGCTTGCTTTTATCCAAAGTCTGATGGTACTGGGGAGCCCCCACCATATAGGGTGAAATGCCACATCCCTACTAGCTCCTCACCCTGCTTACCTTTCTTACACTGAAAAACAGAAGGGGATGCCCAGGAGCTGAATAGAAAGAAAAAGGGTCTTGCTATAGTCAGGGTACAGCTAACTAAGCTTCGCCCATTTTGCCTGGAGAAAGAAAAAGCTGAGTCTCCATGGCGACCCAGGTGGGAGGGGAGAAGGCAGCTCCAGTTACCAAAAAAAAAAAAAAACAAAACAAAAACCCACGTTGGACAAAACTTTCCCAGCTTCAGGTAAAGAAACGAGCCAGCCAGGTATCCCGTGGAAGGTCCCATGGTATCAGCTCTGCCCAAGTTCCTGCCGACAACCCACAAGGGGGCTTCTAGAACTGGCCAGCATCCACCCAAACCTCCCAAAGTTCCCCAGAGGCCACTGAGATGGTTAAGGCAGCAGGTTCTGGATTCAGCACCAAGGCCAGAGAACAGGCGCCAGGTTCCCACCTCCCAGTTGGCGGCCCCTGCTGATGCTGTTAGCTCCTTTGGTGACAGAAGCGATCACTTTCTATAAAGGAGCGATTCCCCTGCCCGTGCAGAATCTGGATATCTGATTATCCACGGAATTGCGTGGGACAGAGAAGCTTGCAAATCATCCATTTCACGCATGGCGGTGCATCAGAGTAACTATTCAAAATCAAGAACACTGAAACAGCAAAAGATCCAAGCTGAACTGAGAATGGAGAATGATCCTGTCCTCAGGGGAGCAGAGGGGCAAGGCGCACGCCTGCACAGACACACAGACACACACACAGGACCAGTCTCTGATTAGAGTTGCCTAGTTTCAGCCACGTCCCTTTGGTTTCAAAAGTATCCATTCATTTCTTACCCTCTCACTGTCCTCTACACTTTTTGTCAGGTTTAGATGACAGAAAGACTGTGAAAGCACGCTGTCAGTAAGACACTGGTTAACTAAATCCTGTTAGGGGTCCTGAGATCCTAGAGGGTAGAGAAATAAAATACTCTTAGTCCAGACCTGACAGACTTTTCTAAAAAAAGAGCTGGTGAGCTCCAGGAAAGGGAGGAGAGTGTGCTCGTGAGATGAGAAGCAGTAACTGTGTCTTTAAGCCAGCATGTGGGCAGGGTAGCTACATTTCCAAGGTTGTAGGGCATAGGAAACAGAGAGAGGGAGTTACTTCTCTTCATAGAAACAAGGAAGAAACTGTGCAAGAGGGGAGGATTTATTATCACTCGAGCTCCATTTCAGCATTCACTGAGAGAAAACAGGTAAGTCTCTCTTGCCATAATGCCTTCACCTGGGGCAAAGCTGGTCTCTATGCTGCTGCCCCCATCTTTGGCCATAGATCCTCACACCCCCCAATAATGGTTTAGGAAGAATAGTAGAGGAAGATGGCAGTCATATTTCTAATAGACCACTTTTCCGAGTCGCATCCAGGGGTTGCAAGGCACAGTTTGAATTGCAGAGCCCAAAGTTTGACAATTGGTTGGAGGTAGTGATAATGCCTTTACAATACGCTGAGCTGCTTTTGAGGATGCCCTTAGGTGTGTTCAGTATTGAGTTGGTTCTGGTTTGTTGTCTATGAAGGTAAATGAGATGAATCCTGATTTTCTTTGCTGGACTTTCCAACTGTGGGCATGCCACTGCTTTCTAAAGATGATAATGCGTGCACTTAGGACTTGGTTAAAGCAGTGCGTTTATACCTTCCAGTTTTTGTTTTTTGTTTATCGTGATCTCTACTGAAGGCAGAAGCAATCTATTCCAAACCTGATCAAAAGATGAGATGTTACACTAATTTCTTCCTTTTCAATTCTTGATGGGTGTTGATAAGTTTATCCATGGTTTAATTCGTAAAAGAGTTGCTACCTAAAGTAGAGAGAAGTGGTTAGTGGAGCACTGTTAGGACTTAAAGCAACTGTACCGTGGCTTTGCTCCATCTGATATTATCAGCAGAAAAGATGTAGAAATTAGTTATGAAGATGCAGCCATACAAGAATATAGATCATTTTACTTAAAAGATCACTTATAAAGTAATGTATTTGTGAGTTCTAAAGCTCAATTTGTCTCATGAATTTAAAACAAAAGATGGGAATGTAAATGACCTAGATATAGGAAATTGTTCAATCAATTATCTTAATTCTGATAGAATCTGTGTTCATATATTTGGTGCTAATTTATCCAACTAGGACTTGCTTTCTTCCTGGGTAGCTAATTGGTGGGCAAAACATCGTTATGCCCTGATGGCAGTCAATGGCATATTCCGAAATAATTGGTCTACCCATTTCAAGTAAGATTTGTTAAAAAGACTTAAAATGTATCCCTGAGAACTTGGAGCTTTTTAATAATATTTTTAAAAATAATTTTAACATCTTACCCTGGTATTTCCTAAACATCAGCAAATAATATATATTAACTTTGATGACCCGGGTCTTTATTTAATACATAGGCTGTTTCCTTTGAATATGTAGAAATGGTTTAATTCACTCTCAAATCCCCCCTCCCATCTTTTTACAAACTATCTCTGCTTTACAGGATAAAAGAAAATAAGACATCAGAAGAGCTATTTAATAAGCAATAGAAAAAATTTATTGGCAATTGAAAATAAATAATATACCCTTCTCGAAGCATAACTCCATTCACTGATTTTCATAGGTCGAAAGTGTTGCTTTTCTCGAGGGTTAAATCTTGATTATGTGAATCTTCATGAAAATAAGATAAAGCCTCTTTATCAAAATGGGCAAGTAGGTAAGGTGAAGCTCTTTTTCAATAATTCTTCCTTAAACAAATGATATATAAGCAATATGCAGATTAACAAGGGAAAGAAACCAGAGAGAATCAGAACAAGGGGAAGGAAGCTACGGAAAAAGGTTAGCATTTAAGGCTACTATATTTTTACTAGCATTAAAGTAATGGCACTTTTGAAAGCAAGGGTTTTGTTTGTTTTTTAACTCATTGTATCAAGACTTCAAGGTTTATGGAACTGAGACGTCTAAATGTAACAACTTTGGATTTATACCTTATTGAGATAGCATTTATTGTTTCTTTCCTTCATTTTCAAGTGTCATTGTAAATATCAAGAGAGAAATAATTCACTCTGAATTTTTTCAGAATTATTAAATTTGGTAATATCAAGTAAAGGGAAATTGGTAATTAAGTCGAAAAATCATCAAGACACTTGTTTAAATTAAGGTTTTTCTTTCTAGCTGTAGTTTGAGTGTGTAGGGAGATTTAAAAAAATAAAATGCAGTCATTTGAGATGATACATTTTAAAATGTATTTTAAATAATTAGTTCTAGAAATAATTAAGATCCTATGTAAAGAAGAGATCATCATAATTGTAGTTAGTGCTCTAATGGTATTCCGACTCGCCTCTGACAAAGTACAAGGATATACACATACTCGATGTTTTTTTACTAGCACTAATTGATAACACACAGTTATTTCCCTCAAATAAAGGAGAATGTCATCTTTTTTTAATTTAAGGTATAATTGAAGTACAATATTATATTAGGTTCAGGCATACAACATAGTTCCTTGACATTTGTATGCATCGTGCAGTGGTCACCACAGTAAGTCCAGTTACAGTGTTATTGACTATATTCCTTATGCTGTATGTTACACAACCATGACTTCTTTACTTTATAAGTGGAAGTGTGTATTTCTTAATCCCTTTCACCCAGTTCATTCCAACCAACCACCCCCACCTCCTGCAACCACCAATCTGTTCTCTGTATCTATGTGACAGGGTTTTGTTGGTTTTGTTTCTTAGATTCCACATATAAGTGAAATCACATGGTATTTGTCTTTCTCTGTCTAATTTTGCTTAGCATAATACACTGAAGATCCATCCACGTTGTTGCAAATGATAAGATTTCATTCTTTTTTTATGGCTAAGTAGTATTCCATCGTATTCATTCAC